GTTCAGCTCCTGTTTCCCTTCCTCCTGTGTCACTGAGTCCAGGTGATACAAAGTGAAATCCCACAAAGACATCATGTGACTTGACTCCGTGACTTGACTCCATGACTTGACTCCATGACCACGTGTACTCCTCTCCACTAGCACTGAATCGGAATAGTTTTTGCTGTTACTGTTTTCAGGTGCTTATACTAGTCCAGCAGCTGCGTTTTCATTTGAGCTTATCATTCATTTACAGAAGTACCAGCTTATAGTAGTATTCATTTTCAAATGTCTCCAGATAAGTACATGTAAGTATATGATAAGTATACATTTTCATGTGTTTTAGTGTAAAAGAAACCTGTACATGTGTCTGTGATTAAAAGTCTCCATTTTCCAATGAAAATATGGGCTATGTTAGGCCATGTTTGCACTACTTCACTCCATTGAATCCAAATAGTTTTTCCTATAACTGGTTTTAGGTGTTTACACTAGGGCTGAAATGAATAGTGAGATATTCGAATATTCATTTGTTAAAGCAATATTCAAATAGTTTTTTTGCTATTCGAACTATTCGCCTAATAAAATTATTAATGGTTATTGCAATAATTAACGACCATGCCCACCACGTGTCACCTGCACAGGCTGCTTTCTTAGTCTGTTTCTTGGTCTGTTTACTTACCAACTCGCTAAATACTGATGCTGTGGCCAGGAAAAGTAGTTCTCAATCTCTAAGAAGCCCTGTTTGGCATCATTTTAAAAAGTTTAACACCAAAAAGGCAGTTTATAATCATTCAGCAATAACAGTTCAATTATTCGAATATTCGTTCGTTTAGCATGCCAATTATTCGAATAGTGGAAAATACTATCCGTTTCAGCCCTAGTTTACACTAATATATGTGTTACAGTATAGCAGGAAATTTTGGAGGGGATTAAATTTGGTGTTTTGATAGCTATTTGCCAAAATAAAAATCCTCCATTTTAAGCCATTATACACATGCTCAATGGCATGTGGCCACAAATTCGCCAAATTAAAATTCACCAATCACCAAATGTTAGTCCCTCCAAAATTTTCCACTATACGGTAATTTAGCCAAACTCATAACTATTACAAACTACTGATACATAGAGTACATAATAATTAATGTAATGTAGAATGGGTGATGAATACAAAGTGAAAATATTACTGAATTGGGTACTAATACGGAATGATTTGCAAGAAAAGGTGAAGATTAAATTTTCTTGTACAGGCAGAGTTGTATAACACATACCAAACTAATCGTTTCATTGATCACTAACACCAATAAAAACAAAATTTAAATTATGTCAACTTCAATACATGTACATGTATAAGATAAAAGATAGCATGTGTCATCCAAAAAAACTCACTGAATTTGTGATGGAGATATTGCTTTAGTCATTTCTCTCTTCCTGTGGTAACTAGGAGGATCTCTCCCTCTCCTTCTCAAATCAATACCCTTGTCCCCATTGAGTGTTGGAGTGGCTCCCTTGTCACCATGGAGATTTCCTTCACTTAAACCAGTCTTGCTCTCAGTAACCCGAGGCTCCAGGGACCTCTGCTCTGACATAGAACGGAGACTATAAAACAGACAAAGATGATTGGGTGATGTCAACAATCTTTATTTCAATTGCTCTACCTTGATCGACGGGTTGCTACTCCAGGGGTATCCATAGCTTGTTTTGGTACTTTGTGTCGTTAATTTTGTGTCTAAAATAGTCCAGATGGTCACAATAAAAAGCCGCCATTTTGTGGGCAGCTACTATTTCCCGCCTTTCTAATAAAAATTAATTAATTTTAATTAATAAAGTAAATTTATTCATAGACATGCACAGCTAGCTTGCACTGCACTATAAAACTTGTGCATTAATGCATTCACCCATTATTGTA